AAATCAGAGTACAGTATCTATGCCACAAAGGGAAGAAAGGAATGAATTTAGAATGACAAAGATAAATTAGCATGAAGAAGTTGTTTTGTAGTATTGTTACGGTTTATTCCACAATTTTTTAGCATGCAAAATATTGAATTTTTACTCCCTTATAATAAAAATTGCCTGCGTGCAATACGATAACTGACGATAGTAGTAGACTGCCAAAACATGTCTTGTTGGGGCCGATAAGGCCATAATATATTGGATTAAATATAGGGTTTGCCTATGATGAAGTGTTGTTTTTAAAAATTATTAGCTGTCTGCTGTTCAATCGTTCTTTTGGCAATATATATATATATATGCTGCATAGCACCATAATAACAACAACAGCGCTCTAATAGGGACAAGATGTTATAATCGTATGAAGCACAGCCCTTCAATGAAAAGTTTCTTATTAATTCAGTTGTATGAAAAAAATGTCTCTGGCGGTATTCAAACCTGCAACCTCTCACTGTCAGGGCGAGTGTCATATCCATTAGACCACGAAGACCTATAGGATATACGCGAGGATTTAACTCCCCCCGGCACTTTGAAAAACTATATTTAAACCTGTACTTCAACTGTTAACAAAACAAAACCAAAACTAGATTTGATCTATAAAATCATATTTACAACTCATGTGCTTTCATAATATGTAATAAAAATTGGGGGTTACCATTCATCCTAAGGAGCTATAACTGAATAAAAATAGGCCTGATTTTAGCATATTTTCACTGTATAGCGGCACAAACTAGCGCAAAGATCCCTATGTTTGATGCACGTGTACGGCATTGCTGTTGGCCATACCGAAAAGAATAGAAATTTGAAAAAAAAAAATCTGGAACCCAAAATATGTAAAAAAAAACGTAATTTCAAAATGCTCAAAATGACCTGAAACATGCTTTAATTTAGTCAAAAAGGGATTTTGAGCATTTTAAAATTTTGAGACGCGTGCACGCGCATTATGACGTGCATGCACGATATTTCAGTACGTGATATTCAACCTTGACCTAAAGTTTATGCCTACTTAATATGACAATTGGTTAGGATGATATGATCTATATTGTAAAAATGCAAAATTGCGCGTAGATGACGTCACACATGACTGAGCACATTAAAAACCTTATTGTGACTATTCCAGGCCAAGCCAAATGTTCGTTGAAGCGCGATTGTGCGTAGTTCGCGGCAAAATTGAGATATTGTGTGCACAAAAATGGGGAGAAAGAAAGAAGAATAAAAAGAAGATGATCTCTGACAATAACAAGAGGTGATCTGCTTGTGAAGCGGATCATTAATGACAGGTTTTCCCATTCTTGTGATGCTGCTATGATTTATAATACACATATTACAAAGATATATGTATGTATGCCTAATTTTTGCACAACATAATTGCAATGTTTACAGCAGTTGGAAAGATTTAAGAGTAGATAATTGCAAATTATTGTTGAACATTCCCTTCTTTTCATTCTTGTGACATTTTTACTCAATAGTGACCCATAATAAAAAGGTAAATTAAATTCGGAAGCATTAATATTAATTCACTAGAAAAGGTTGTAAAGGATAAATCGTAAATGTTTCAACATGACTTGAAATGACTAGGAAACATGCTATTAATCTGCCTGTATTGGTTGTGTTGTTATGACAACATCAAATGATAACAAAAACAAATAACTCACATCATCTACATCATGATTTTAATAATTATAGAATAGTTACAATCTCAAGGTACTGTAAGACTCAATATTACAGTTTTCTTTCTTTTTTTTTTTTTTTTATCTCTGAAGGGATTAGGTTTTTGGGTTATATTTTAAATCAAGTAAGACTTTATAGCAAACACCATTTTTGAAAATTCTTCAGAGGAGGGCGAAACCAAATGAAAATAGCAAAATGAAGAAAAAAATAAATAACAATAATAAATAAATAAATTAAAAATAAAAAAATTAAATTAAATTAAATTAAATTTTAGTGATGAAGGGAAAAAATGCCTAAGTGTTTTGTATTATTTGAATTAAAATAGCAAACTCCATTTTAGAAAGTTCTTTGCAGGAATACAAACCCAAATAAAAATTATTTTTTCTTGTATTAGCAGAAAGAAGAAAAAAATAAATAAAAATAATAAATGAATAAATAAAAAATAAAATAATTTAAAAAAATAAAAATTAATAAATATAAAAAAAATTTTAGTGATGAAGGGGAAAAACTGCCAGTGTGTTTTTTATTACTTATCTGTTTTTTGTGGTATTCCTCCCAGATGAATAAAGATTAAGAAACAAATTATCATGCTACATTTTCACAACCAAAAAAAATCTTGCTGCACATACTGGTCATGCTCTATGTAACCATGCACTAAAATAGATACCCTCTTACCCCTTAGAAAGTTACAGGACGGAAAAAGTTAAAACTCTCACCAAAAGGGTAAGTGTATCTGTCCAATAATTGAAAACTCTCTAAAACTGAACAACTACCGTAAATCCTCGCATAAGCACCGCTCTCGAATAAGCGTTGCTTTCGAATAAGCGCTGCACCGAACATTTTTCCATAAGCGCCGCTCTTGAATAGGTGCCGCGGCACTTAATCGAGAGTATACCATGTGAGTAAAGATACACTTTGAGAAACAGGGTTTTAAATACAATGTACACAGTGTTAAAATGAATATACAACACAATGAAGACACAAGCATTTCTATATTAACATTTATTTACCATGACATAGGACCTATGATAGGCCTACCGAACTACAGAAATATGCGAGATAGGTAACATGGGAACATGCATGGAAAGCACCAAGCCAATATTTTTTTAATAAGCTCCGCATTGAAGCCTATAAAAAGCGCCGCTGCGATTAATCAAGGTAAATACAAATCAGTGTACATAAATAACTAAATGATAGAAAATATGTTAGAAAGGCTGTATACTCCTTTTACAATATCCACTACAAGAGCAATTTGTGGCATACCTTTTACATAAATTATTTATTTCTGAGATAAAATATGATATAAATTATTTAATGACCAGCATACAAGTAAGAGAGATGGTTCTTCTAATTATGATCAGAAGAACTAGAATTTGTTGTTAATCACTATACACTCTTAGTTTACTTACCGGTAGCAGCGACTTAGCTTCTGACATTATAAGAAGAACTAGATTTGTTGGGAAATCAGCACGATGGAAATTGAAGTCATACTGAAGTTTCTGCCATGTGATCACATTTCCCAGGGCCTTGAGATTCTCAATCCCTAAAGATGAAATCAAACAAACAGAATCATCAGCCAATGGTTACTAACACTATTCTGCCAACTTTCATTAGTTTTAAATCCTCGACTCTAAATTCTAAATGGAAATTTTCAATTTAAATAATACTTTCCTTCATTTGGTCTCATTTTTATAATTCATACACAGAGCTTGCTACAGTAATTATAAAGCAGAATTTATATCGATTACCAATAAGACAACAAAATATACTGAGATTTATATGTGACTCTCTATCAAATGTTTTGAGTGCGAACTTAAATATATCCTACCATTCTGGTCCAGCTGCCCTGGTTCGAGCGCTGTTTCATCAATTAACAGATGCGTCTTGTTGCTTAGCTGTAACATGCCACTTTTTAAGCGATGCTCGGAATAATCCTTCTTAGGCGTGAAACGTAACGTGTTCATGTTACTTAAGGTCATTGGTAGGAAATGAGACTGAAAATAAATCAATCAATCAACTGATAGTTTTAAATTCCATATTTGACTTAATATATTTCATGTCCCCATCGGGATTCCAACTTAAGACCTTGCGATTACCGTTCGGATACTCTACCAACTGAGCTATTGAGGCTAAAGTGGTATACACTCTTGGATTTTCCCATTAGGAGAGGTTTTTTTCTCAAGGTATTGAGTAATATGCAATGAATATTATGATTATTATTACATAATTATTAGTCTAATAATTTCCTTGATTAGATTAAAGTAATTGTGATCTCTATTTGGCAGATTGAATTCTCTGTCTGTATTGCATTGCCAATTTTACTTAGTAAATTTCATGCGAGTTATGAGTTATTCTCCTTCTAAATCTCTTTAGTACACAAGATTAAAAAAAATACTTTAAACTTAAAAAACAAAACCTACAATTGAGACTGATTTCCAAAAGCTTATAAAGTGACTTCATTCCAGTGAGTCATCAAATTCCATATTTGAACAAGTGAATATCGTATTTGGTTTGGTGAATACCATATTAGGCACAGTGAATACCATATTTGGCACAGTGTAGTCCACATTGCCTACAGAGATTGTTTTTAGCTAGCAGTTCTCCAATTTTGAATTACACAATTCATATTGTAATGTGTCTCTTCATTTATTCCTCAGACTAGTAATTTGTTTCTAAGAGCTTTGTGCCGTTTGCGTAATGGATTAAAGAAAGCAATCAATAATGAAAACATGGCTCATTTCATCGGTAATACACAAACTAAAAGTGTCACATTCTCTTCTAAGCAAATGTGTCAGTTCATAAAACTGAACCATACAATTCTCCATAAAATCTAATTATAGAAAGAGTATAGAAAAAGCTATTATTGGTTTTACAGAACTAAGAGAACAATATATCAAATAAAATTCACCCATAAGGCACTGGTGATAAATTACATAGTTTTCTGCCATGTGAAGAGGATATATATTAAAAATATATAATCCAGTAATTACATTATCAAAATTTTATAATACAACCATAATTCATGAATTATATAATATTCATTATTTTATTTCCCAAAAAAATTATTTATCAGGCAAATATAATTTGTAAGGCAATACTTTTTTTTATTCCTCGTTTCACAAACTTATTTTTTTAAAGCTCGTCAGAGGGCTGAAAAAATTTAAAAAAATAAAATTATGTTCTTTTATTTAGCAAATAGTGATAAGGGAGAAGATAAAAATAAATTTTTATTGGTGAATGTAAACAGTGTAGTAATGGGACGGTTATATGCTTTAAATTTATATTTAGGAAGAAAATACATACATTATTTTTGCAAATTTCAAAGCAGCGGTGGGCGTAATAAAAATAAAGAAAATTATTTTATTGAAACAAATGGAAGGTTGGTTGACAAAACAAACAATTTGGCCGTCCCAAACCACTCAACTAGTAAGAAAATGAATAACAAAAACCCAGACACTCAGGGAATAATACAAAAGGTAGGAATTGAAAAAAAATGTACAAAATAAGATACATATACAGGGCAGTAGTCATACAATGCAGACCAAAGATAATTATAGCAATTTGTATTAATCGCAATGGCCATTCTATTTCTTCGTAAGTTAATCAGGCCAGACCACCTGTGTCTAAGTCCTACATCTGAGGACCTTTATACAGTAAGAATATTAATACATCTATTACACTAGAGTGTCCTCATCTGTATGTGCTATTAAGCAAATAACGTATTACAAGTTTAAAGTAATGAATATACTTGATCAAGTTGCATTACTATGTAACTTGATAATGGTCTGTGACTAAAAACATCAGCTGACCTTTTTTTCTCTAATAGATTTGTTGGCAAATCAAACCTGCTCTACTGACTTACTATGTATAATATATAGAAAAACAACTATGTCTGGATCTTGGTTGACATTAAAATTGACAAAGTAAAAGCTAAAATTACAAAGCAAGATAAACAACGAGAGAGTATACTAGAGCAGCATTCCGCAAACTTTTCGCTGATGACCCAGTTGGGGACTTCAAAATTGAGTTGCGACCCACTGACCCCTTATGCACAAATGCATAATTTGGGAAGACCTAGGCCTATATCGTGCTTACCGTATGTATATTTTCAGTGTATTTTATCCGCCCTGGTCTTACTATGGCTGGTTTATTTTTACATAAATATGTAATTAAATTTCAATTAATTATTAATAAAAGCTTTTAATAATCAATGGTGTATCTAAGGGGTGCTTGGTCCCCCAGTTTCCCCTACTGGAAATTTTCAAAGCAAAAAATTCTGCTCAAATCACCACATACCTCCATATTTTGCCAGCTATTGCCCGCCTCACTTTATCACTGGGACCTCCCACTTCACTGTTTCACCCTTTACATCAGCTCTGCCCCTCCCACCCAATTTCAATACCCCTAGATACCCCACTGTTAATAATAAACAAAAGCTGCCAATTCCGCAAAAAATGTTTTTGAAAACTTTACAACTCATGAATGCAGGTAGGGCCAGTGTGATGCTTTTCTGGTAGATCTAGATTTACCCAAGAAGTACCCAGTAGTACTCCCTTCTCTAAATTTTTCAAAATTAATAAAAAAGGAAAAATAAAGAAAATTTTATCAAAATTTTAATTCTGAGGGCGCCATTTAAAGGTAACATAATCATACATTTTTTTTGAGGTGGTATAAATCATCCATCTGTGAAAGTCCCTCCCTGGAGCCCCTCTAATCATATTCCTGGATCTGCCAGTGGTGCTGACCAGTCTTAATGCATGAAGTTGTTGAAATGAAAATAAAGCCTAAACTAGGAATGAGCTTATAATTATATTCTCAAGCACAGTAAAGTATGGTATATGAAGTCATGAATATCTAATATTTATTGCATAATGTAAGTCTATGAACTAGTTTCCCATGACCTGCCTATAATCGATTGTGTATAAAGCATGTCAGCCATTGATGTATGAAATGTTAGTGTATCAGTTACGGTACAATAATGACTGCTTCTGAAAATTTAACAAAAAAAAGTACTAACTTTGGCAGCAATCTTCTGTAAAAAAGTGTTTATTTTTTCAGGAAGACAACTGCTAGCTCGACAACCACTGATGTTTAACGTAAACTTTCCAAGGGCGAGCATTTCTCTTCTAGCATACCTATTTGAACATAAATAACTAAAGTTTTAAAATTAACAATTTTTTTTAATGCTAATCATGATTTTATTCATGAATTATATCAGTAAAACCATTACAAAACAAAGTAAAAAGATGCAAAGTTAGATGCTAACTTCCAGTCATGGTTACATGACTGCGGATGCTGATTTTATTTATATTTAATTAATGTCAATGAAGATTTCCCCTCCTACGCTGGTAATAATATATTACCACTACAAAACTGATTTGACCATTAACAACAACAGTGGATTTGATTACCCAATAAAACCACCCACAACACTGCCCAGAATATTCTTGCATATGTTCAAACTACTGAAAAGTCAACAATATTGTCTTCCAGTATATAAATTAAAATTGTAAAAAAAAAAGTAATAAAATGTCTTTATACAAATGCCACATATTACTTATAAATATTGATAAGTGCTAAAAAGTTTATGTTTATAAATACTTGAGATTTTGTTTAAGAAATAATTATTAATATACCGTAAAAAAATTGAACAGAAGCTCTTGGCTTCTTTTTCTGCAACCTTTGGATGGGCTTCTTTTCGAGGCTACTTTTGCAATGTAAAGAAGGGGGGCTTCTTTTTAAAATGAATGCTGTAAATTTTGGGAATTTCTAGTATAATACAATAAGTCGGACCACTGTAAATCAGTCTGTATCATGAAGTATGTTAACCAGCATTAAATCACCTAACTGTAAGAAACTAAGCATGTTTTTAATTTTATAATTTTCTTTCTTAGAATTTCATGTACAGTGTGGGCACTGTAGAATCTCGAAAAAAAAAGCACAAGCTCATGGGTTTCTTTTCGAAATGATCTTCTATTCAAGGCTAATTTTGCAAACTAAAGAAGGGGGGGAAGGTTTTAATTCGAGATGGGCTTCTTCTCGAAATTAAGCCTATTGGGCTTCTATTCGAGGTTTTACGGTAAACCCTGTAAAATGCACAGCCCCTTAAAAACTATAGTATATTTATCCACTTTGTTAATAGCCCAAGGGCGATTAACCAACTTTACAATAAAAATTCTTTGAAAATGACAAACCCTGAGATAGCAGGTTATAAATGAGGTCATGCGATGTAAATGATTGAATGGGGTAGATGGATAGTTATCGCAAAAGATAGCTACAATACTCACACATTGGACAGCAGGTGCATTAACAAGTACTCTGCAGCGGTGGCATCTCCCCCTAAAATTTCAGCAAACATGGAACACAGGTTGGTTCGAACTAAATCTGCTTGGGCTTGTAAAGTCTCTACAACTGCAGGGGAAAATAATAAATATTTATCAAGGTAATAGTGGGGGAGGGAGGGGATAAACTGTATCTGTATTCGTTGTTTCTATCTAGACTCGACTACTGCTGCTCTGTCTGGGGTTCCAAACCCACTACTACCGTTAAACTTCAAAAAATTCAAAATAAAGCTATTCGCATCCTACTTAATCTTCCTCCTACTACTCATTTAACTTCTTTCCACTTCTCTTGTGCTAAGACCCTTCCTTTCCATGACAGATATCGATATCAACTTTTAAAGCTCTACACAATCTTGCTCCCCAAACAATTTGTCAGTGTCTCACAAAAATTACAAAAATCTGGGGACTTGCACATCCCCAGACCCCACTTTGAACTTTTCAAACTTTCATTTAGCTTTAATGCCCCCTCTTTCTTTAACTCTCTTCCCATAGATATCCGCAATGCTTCTACTTACTCCTCCTTTAAATCGTCCCTCAAAAGTTACCTCCTTCTTTCTCTCCTGTAATTCTGTTTCTTTGGTCTTTGTTTTTTTTTTTTTTTTTTTTTTAATTGTGTTTTGAATTTGCACTGAGAATTCATCTTTTGATTTCTAACTTATTATTTATTTTCTGTTTTATTTATTAATTTAAATTGATTTATTTTCTTTAAATTAAGAGTGATTTGATTTATAGTTCTCATATACATTGGCCTATTATCTATTTATTTGATTATTTTATTTAGGCTACTTTATTCCCTTTGTTGCTTTAATGTCCCTTTTGCCTATTGTTTTTTAATATTGCTCTTTCATTTACATCTTTAATTGTAATTTAATTTTAATTTTTATATTAAGTTTTTTATTTAATTTTGAATTAATTCTTTATGTAAATTTTGAATTGAGAGGTTGTTATTTATTTTACTGTAATTTAATTATTTTAATACGCTCTTTTGTTTTGTTTTACTATGTGTATTGAGGGTCCCTAATGATCAGCTTCGGCTGGATGGACCACCCTCATTAAAGATTGTTGAAATAAAAAAAAATAAAAAATCTTTTATGGATGAATATAGGTTGATTGAATTACAAAATAATCATTTATCTCTATTGTGTATAGCCAGCCAGGGCTCATATTGATATTTTTAGCAATGTATGCACATAATAGCTGATTATTCTTAAAGGTCAGGATCATGGGTCTTCAAAGAAGCTATTTTTAGTGCATGTTACTGAATATTCAGGCAAGTGTTTCATTATATTGAAGCCATACAAGGCTCATTAGGAAGTATAAAAACTATAACATTTGCCTGACTGGATTGGCAAAGGGGATATGAAGATCAGTTGGAATTTCCATACCTGGTTTGGCGGAGGGAGAACTGAGATTTGCTGGCAACACAGGATTTGAATGAGTGAGTTTATTTGCAATAACGGCATGCAATCTTGGAACAAGAGAAGGCGGTGGCGAATGAACTCTTTGCTCCTCTGTGATCATGCTTTCTGCACCTTCAATTGAAAACCTAAAAGTATAATAAAAAATGAATAAAAATATATTTTTTTAAATCTAAAAATATGTTATCATTCTTTTTCTTTCTATCAACTGAAACTTAAACCATAAACGTTTTTTATTATTATTGTAACGTGACCCCTTCGGAAACAAGCAGAAATGGTTAAAGGGTTATCCTGAAATTCTCTTATTGTTGTTTAATTCGTTTAATTTTGTACTCTGTTTAGTTGTGATAATTTCGAAATAAATCAAATCAAATCAAACCAGCATTGTTCTGATTAGTCAGTTTTTAGTTTGATTGACACTTCAAAAAGGTCCATTATGATGAGGGGTAGAGCATACCATGCACCACAAATTGCATGATTTGGGATTTCTCTCAATACTTAAAATCGTAATGTTCCGAAGTGTCAATACTATTCATTGTGTAAACACATTTCTACTACTACTGTGTAATATGAATAAGATATTAATATATTTTGCATATTGTTACTTTGACAGGTCCATCAATTATTTAATGGAAGTGGATTTGTATAGTTTAGTGGTTAGGTGCTTGCCCTCTAATCCAAAAGTCCTGGGTTCAATTCCTGTCACAGCAAGAATTTTTCTCACGACTGAAAACGACTCCACTCCCTAAGTCTCACCTAGAGACTTGGTTTATAAAGCACCATCTATCCTGTAATTGGCGAGTTAAGCCCCTTTCCCACCTAGGTTGATTTCATGCAAGAGTTACACGAATTCTATGAGATAAAAACTCGTAAAACTTGTGATTTAATTCGCTTGGGAAACGACCTTTATACGAGCTTACTACGCGTCAGCTACGAGTAAGGTACGACCTTATGGCGTTGGTTACGAGTTATATATGAATTATGCCGAGCGAAGCACCAAGTTTATTACAAGCTTTACAAGATTATTACGAGCGTAATGAGTTTGTACCGTATTAGATACGAGTTAGGTACGAGCATTCCGACCAAATGTTCCTGGTGATTATAACCAACTCGGTGCACTCGTACTCAACTAGTACTCATTTTGGGGTTCTCGCATCAATCTCGTGGATTACAAAACCGCCGAGTATCCAAAGCAGTTTAAGAGTTAGGTAGGAGTACCCCGAGTACTCTACGAGTTACCCACGAGTCCTCAGAGTTTACTACGAGTTAGTAATTAGCGCCTTGAGTTCAGAGCTTCTACGAGTAGGTACAAGTTCTCCCCGAACTTCCCGAATCATCCTATGAGTTCTTGCCGAGTTTGCAACTTGGCAAATTCTTTTAACTTGTATGCTGAAAAAACCCTAGTGGGAGAGGGGCTTTACTCACCGTGTGATTCAAATGAAATTTAACAGTGTTACCGTCGTAATACTTTTAAACATTTATTCACTAAATCGTAGAGGCCTCATTTCATTAAATACCCAAAAAATATTGTGCCTTTTGTCTCGTTGCAATTCATTTTCCAGGGGCGTCGGAAACTGTTTAATTGGTCCGGCCAAATATACATAATCACCATTGCATTAACATGACTTCTTTTCATTAGTTTCGTCTTTGTCTATAGCTCAAAACATGCACTATTCTATTATATCAATCATTCATACTTGTACTAAATATATCATTTAACCATTCATGCTTTATCATTTATATTTGTCACTATGGTATTTCATAAATATTAACGTACGTACAAGTAGTAGTTAATCATTGCTTTAACAGTAGAAATGATATATTTAAAAATGATGTTTTACACTAGCCGATGTATTACCATACGGCCTGCTAGTATTTTGCAAAAAATACTCTAAAAGAATTGACACGTATTCGTCTCGAACCAGGGACATAGCTCAGCTACGGGTTGTACGCATGTATATTGGGCAGCCTGGGCCATGTCATAGTAATTTTTAATCAAAAAAGTGTAATTCGATCAGTTGAATTGATTAATAAGTAGGCCTATCTATCAGTTAATAAGTATCTAATCAAAATTGCTGATTTTCCCTGGCGTTTGTCCTACCACCCTGACCGGGAGTGTTGTAGGGCCTGAGTAGAACCCCTGTAGAAACATACAGTATTATTCTAATATTGACCCTCCACCCAAAGTTGATGCCCCTGATTCTTATTGCTCTATTGAGTACTTATCAACTGGTAGGTAGATCTGTCCATATGATGGGAATACCTACATACATGGTCCTCCTGCCATTAATAAAACCAAATCTTTACTAAATAATAATACTAAAAAATATATTAGCAGTCTGTTATTTGAAAATCTAACGTATTCACCTAGCTTAATTCAAAAGACATTTAATAGGTTTACTAGATAATGCATAGCATAATGTACCCTGTGTCCCTGTGTATTCATAACACATGTTAATTTAATTAGGCTACATCTTTTTATAGGCTATGTATTTCACAATATCCGTCAACTCGTATAAATATAATAGGCGAAAAATTCATTGTTATTCATATTGCATTGAATAATTATTTTAATTTATTCCATATTATTTTAAAAACTAATTGTGATTTGGTCATTATTTTTCTAGATATAGCATTCTTAACCCGTGTGATGACTGCACTCTCGAAAAAGGGCCCATCGGAACCTAGTTTCACCACTGGGAAGTGGCAGGTTGGAGGAAGGTCCCAGCCGGCCCCCTCCAAATTTGAATGTGCAGGTTATGTTTGATTGCGTCAGAGAAAGTAGAATTTGGCTTACAAACAATATTGAGTTGTAAATTATTGGTCCGGCCAAATATTTTTCAAGTTTATGAGATTTTCAAGCTGGTATATGCTGAAAGAAATAGTGTCTGTCGAACAAATATTGACTCAAAAAAGCAATAAACTTATTGAATCACTCATAAACATATGCATTAACTACCTCCAATAATTAACACACATCAAAACAATTCACTTTTCACCGATACTTCAGACTTTTAACTGCAAAACTCATTAGTTTTATTGCCTGTAAATTCAAAGTCTATTAAAAGAATATATGGCAATAAAAGAAATTACCTATTGCGTATTAAATCTCAGAGTCAAAAAAAGATAAAGGACAGGTGAATTTTATGAATCTTAATCAGCGAGGATAATTTATTGTTTAAAGACGGACACTCACTGCGTGGCACGACGGTCGTAAGACTGTCGCACGATGAATCCACATTTGCTTCCGGCGAGCGATAGACAACGCAGCGTCGTCTGCTGATTGTCAGTGGCAATCTAAACGGATCCTCATTAAAAAGACGATCCGTTGGGTCTGCATCTTCGCGTGCGTTCTTCGTCACGTTGCCGTCGCATGCAGTGCGTAACCGGCTTAAAGAAAAGCAAATAACTTGTGTACATTAATAAAGGTTTCTTAGAAAGTTTTGTTAGTTAAGTATATTTTTTAAATAATGCAAAATATATTTACATTTCTCCTTCTGATGATGATTCAGCCAAGGCTGGGTCAACAGAGAGTATGCCAACAAACTCAATGACATCATTCACTTTAAACCCATCAAAATTTGCATAAATCTGTGGGGAAAATGTACATAAAGAGTATAAAAGAAAGTGTATGTATATACTGCAGATGGAATTTTACTACAAATGTTTAAATAGCTTATAAAATATAATTAGAACAATTATTGCTTGTATTTCATTATTTCCTTTTAATATCATGAATACAAGACTTGCATTTTAGAAATTAATAAATAAAATACTTTAATATATTATTTACATATTAATGTTATTTCATTTATTATATTTTTATAATCTAAAATATGTTATACTATTTTGCATTCACTTGCAAATAGTCAAAATCTTCTACTCCAATTTCCTCATGAATGCAGCAACAAATAAAAACAAGCACTGCGAGCATTTAAACTCTCAAAATGTAGTTCAATATTTGAGTTAAAATATCATAGTTTTATATTTGTTGGCAGGTGGTTCACTGAAGTTGTCCCTGGAGTATAATCCAAAACACAAGATTTATATATCCATCTAGTTATCGGTGACTTACAATCGGATCTGACATTTAAAAGAAAATAGCAAAATTACTACCTAAAACCCATGAAAACTTTACTCAAGTTCACTATCACACACACAGGTACAGCTGTACGATAGCCAAAACAATCAGTATTCAGCATTCATGTTTAAGCTCTTTGCAGACTATCGAATATTGAAGAAAAAAAAAAACTGCTATATGCCCATATATAGTCATGATGTGCCTATGCCCATATATAGTCATGATGTGCCTATATATGGTCATGATGTGATGTCATCATGACCATATTTAGGTATGTCACATGTTTTTTTCAAATTTGATAGTTTGGACAGAGCTTTAGAATGGAATGGAAAATACTATTTGTTTGAACTTTACAGTCTTTAAGTTCTTGTTTAAATATTCAGATTGTGTCCTTTGAATTTTTATTTTATCTATTCCATTTCTCTTTTTTTAACTGTGAGTTTACATATTATTGTTTGTATTTTGTAAGGTAGTTTCTGGAAAATAAATTAATATGAATGTAAGTGTGTAGAGGGCTGTCAGTAAACCAGCCTAGGGACTGTGTCCACTAAAGCACCGAGATATTTATGTCACTGGTTCTATTTTATTACGTCTCCCCGTGAAATACAATATTTGCTAGGCTCAAGGAGCTTAGCCTCTCCGACTGAACAAAGTCTTCGTCAAAAATTATCAGACCCCTGTCAGTTAACTTAGCCCTCCCCTCCATCAAAGTATATCCTAGGAGACCACGTTAACAAAAACCTCCCATCCGCGCCCCAAGGCCCCTGCTACGGACGTTCCTGTTATGACCACAAAAGTAGGTCACTTTACATTACATCAGCTGAAACTGAAAACACCATAGCAGCTGATTGCCTGATGAAGGCAAGCAGATAGCAGTCGTAAATGCCTGTTGTTTTTATTCTTCAGTTTATAAAAAAAAAAAGAGAAGTTTAAATCATCAATTAAACTTTCCAGTAGCTCAACTAGGACAAATTATGTTACAGTATTTGACTTCACCTTGACAAGACAGGCTGGGCCCTTCTCATTTGCAAGAGGGAAATTAAGGTCTTGTGTATGTCCATTCATCGATCTTGCTTCCTCTCCTCCTTCTCCTTTAGCTTTTTTCTCAGGACTTGTACTCTCAGTAGATTCAACATCCATTGACTGTGCTGAAGTCCTGGCTTGGGTTGAAAGATCTAGCCCACCTCCAGAAGATGTGGTCAACTGATCCTCATCGAGTCTTCGTTTTGGCCGTGAATTATGGCACGTTCTTGCTTGCTTGCATTTTGATTTATCGGCATAAATCTATTTTTTTATTAATGGAAAAACACCTAAAATTCATACAATAAAAAGGACAGGGCTAAAATTTCACCATAAACCTATTTTTAAATGTACTAAATAAGCGCCAAAATGCTGATTAAAAAATAGAATTCTTAGAAAGGAGTGCAGAGTTTATTCAAGAATGGTGCTTAGGAAAATATTATTGTTTGATGTGGTGCTTCTTTGCGAACAGTGCCTACTCCATCATCAACTGGTGCAAAGTGCATAGAAATTCAGTAGATTTTCATTCTTTCTTGACAATACAATATTAAGAGTTAATTTACTGATTTGAATAAGGAAACAGATAAAATGCCCTCCAGCAAGAAAGCAGTCTGATAAAAATTAACCAATCACATTACTCTCAGCTAGGCTATAAAATAAGATTTTTTTCATTTGGATGATTATACTGTAACATCCGAAGCGATAGAAGATAATTAAAACAGGCACCGTGGGTGAATGTTAAGTCTTTGGGCTCCTAATAAGTTTAATTTTGTTCTATGTAGTCACATAATACATGTCATCGGATCATTAGTTCCATATTGAGCGTGTCGCATTGCTCGTGTCCTTGAACAATGAGACTTTATGTATTTTTAGCTCTCTCTCCTCATTTAAGATGAAAATGTTGTAATGATGTATTGCAGTAATTTTCTTTGTATCTCTTACACTATTTAGAAATATAACAAGGTTGCATATTGCACAGTATATCATTAACATAATTATTAACTTCAGCCTTCTTTGAAGGAAAAAAGGCCGCCAACGATGCATTGCTGTGAAACTGATGATGAATGTAACCAAATTTAAAAAATTTAAATCAAAAGAAATACTAGAGCAGTTACTCCATAAAGTGCATACCTACGCCCTATGCCTATATACCAAACAATATATGCAGGCTGGGCAATTCCAATATTCTCAGCTCCGTGCCTGTATACCGAACAATACAGCGGAAAATCCCATAACCAAGTAAATCCTTACTTGGCTTGGAAATAGTAATTTGCTGCATTATGTAACAAAAGGATACATTCTTAACCCACTGGTTTTCACCAGGTATGGGCACACAGTATAGTGTCTGACGATCGAGAGGGACAGTTGAGGCTGCGTTTGTGTCGATGTGTTGATGTGGCGCGCATTCGGCTATATCACGGTACATGCCACACTTTAAAATCTGAGTGTATAAAAAGAAAGAAATAACCTATCACCTTAAAAATCATTTTTAAAGTCAGGATCCTGAGGAAAAAAATTTTTTTGATAAGTTGTAGAACTGATTTTTCTAAAACACAAAAAATTTGTTTGACGAAAAACTTAGGAATGGTTAATGAGATACAGATTTTTGAAAGTTTAAAAACTGGGGCAATAAAATAAAAAAACTTCCTTCAAAGGAATATCTTTTCCCCCAGTTTTAAATATTCAAAATCTGTATCTCACTTTTTCGTGTTTTAGAAAAATCAGTTCTACAACATATCACACTTTTTTTCCTCTGGAGCTTGACTTCAAATTAAAAAATTCTAAAATGGTCATTGATTTTTCCTTAAAAAAATTAAAATTTTGACTATCTAATTCACTTTGTGTCCCAAAGGACTGTCTAATCAAAACCATAATTTTCTAACCATAAAAAGTAATGTGTTTCTATAAACATTATATTTTTTTTTGTCCAAATTACTTGTACTTCAAGGCCATAGTCATCTAGCTTAATTGTATACGAGGTTTCAAATATCAACAAATGAACCATTATGTACAGTATGTCTCTCTAAATTAGGCAAAAAACGGTTCTGCCAATTGTATCTGGTTGGAGTAGGAAAAAAATATTTTATTGATGAAAGAACCCAAATGTGCGAAAGTGAAAAAAAAAATTATTAAAGGGTGCCCTTAAGCCCATGCTTAGTATTATTGTTGTTGTAATGCAGCAGGTTGGATTTCTATTTGAAATCTTAGGTTTGGCGGTAGGTTGTTGAAACAAGGTGAACAAAGAGTCTTGCTTAAGAGGTTAAAAATATACATACACAGACACACATACATACACAGACACACATACATACTTAACATGTAGCCTTACCTTCTGACCAGTATTTTTGTCCAAGACCTCATAAGCCCCGATGTAGAACTCTGGATCGTACATGTCTTGAATCATACAACGGAATCGGACCAACACATTGGTCTTGAGGTCATGTAGTGATGTATCATTCAATGAAGGTATCTGTAATTTTATTAAATATATAATATATTATAAATAATATATACAACAATAGTATATATATAATATATACAGTAATATACTATACTAACCGAAAAGTCCACTGATTAATCTCAGATAAGAAAGTATAATACATACTCCAAGTATTGAAGTATGTATTATACTTTCTTATACTATACTAATAATATAATATAAATTAAAACTATATAATCTATAATAATAAATAAATAAATAAATATATAATGTAATAAAACTGTAGTTTTGGCGTAATTTTAATGATTTCTTTGTGATGTGCATCTGAACAATCTTTACTGGAAAAGGCGCAATATAAATAGAATACATTAATTATTATTATTATTATTATTATTGTAATAACTAGCTCTAACCGTAATATGGAAGGGGGATTGAGCAGTGGCGGTGACAGGGGTTACAATTTGGAAGAAATCCCTTTCGAGAGTTCTGGGAAAATGAGCTTCTTTAGTTAAACGTTATTATCTAGTATATAAATACTGCAGACAAATAGATATATCAATAACAAATATACAAAAAACACGAACAAAATCCTATTGATAAAAAAAAAAAAAAAAAAAAAAACACAAAATAAATAATCCGATTGATAAAATAAAGATCATGCGTTCTCTTCTTGAGGAGAATGCATGATCTTCAATTTAAATGCAGTAAGATTATCCTGAAAGATATCCATATCCTATTTAGGTTATTAAAAATAATTGGTAATCTACAGTATTACCCATCGGCACTGAGCTTACACTGCACTTTGCGTGTTTCCTGTATAAAGAGCTGCAAAATACCCGTTCAAGTGACGTCAATGATACAATTGATAATAAAGTAGTAAAAAAAATGCAAATTTTATGAAGTTGCAGGAGATATTGGATATTTTTTAAGAGATTCTTGCCTGCTTGCTTACACGGAGGCCGTCCCAATTTCAGGGAAACTTCTGAGACTCTCGCGACTTCACTGCAGTGCCAGAAGGAGCCTGACCCTCAGGGTTGTAGCTGTAGAAAACTAAGCAGGGCTCGAAATTTGCACTAGATAATTGCTAGGTAAACATTCACAAACCAGAAAATAAAAAAAAAAATAATTGCTAGTTGGAATATCTATACAAAATATGTTATACTGTAATTAGCCTAGTAAGTAAAACAAATTAAGTAAAATAAAATATGAATGAAAAGTTACAAAAACTGGAATTTTTCAAAATAATATAATATAAATTTAATATAAAATAAATTTTAATTTATATTATGTTAGATTATTTTGAAAAATTGCAATAAGAGGTACATCTTTAAAATGAAAAAAAATCACAGATACAAAATAATAATTGAATAATACTTAATTTATTATAAAAATAAATTAAGTATATAATATATTATTCCATTTTTATTTTGTATCTGTTATTTTTTTTTTAGCAAATCCAACAAAACTTATATTATTACAGCTTACCCATAGTAATGATTCAGGATCTGACAAGCGATGTTGAAAAGTTGTTGTAACCCTACTTGTTAAAGTTGTCAAATTATTATCTTCAACTGTAAATTAAACACAAACATACTAATAGCTTAAAATACAGAAATATTTTTATACACATGTTGCACCTTGCCAGATAGAAGGGAGGCCTCACATATCTTTCCCATCAGTATGAACTTTTTGGATTTTTAGAAGTTTCCTGATTTTTTTCTTCCGATTTTCCGAAAATAATATACAAATAAGATATATTCTCCTTATTTAAAAAAAAAAATTATTTTTAATAAGGTTTCAATGTAGCCAAGGTTGAATATCTTCTTAATGTTTTAACCCTAACCATAACTCATTGCAGATATTCGACCTCGGCTACATACCCGTGGTCCATGGATCGCTCCTGATCCGCAATATAGCCTCCAGGAATTGGGTGACGTCTGGTGTAACAACAAACTTCCCAAAATAATATAATGAAAAATGGTACAAATAAATCCAGGGGTCCCAAGTTAGGACAAACCACTTCCTCTGGAAGGTCTGGCTAATTTTTGCTGCACACGCAGTATTGTGAATGTGATGATAGTGATACCCACCGTTGGGAGATAACTTATAACAGTAGTAGGCCCGCCCGGTAATACAGTATTAATTCCTAAGCTAGGCCTAGTTAGTAGTACTACTGTCTTCACTCTAGCTGATCTACTCTAGGGCCAGGCCTGGGCCGATCGATGCCTTGTATGTTAAAGACGTAGCCTAGCTAGACCTGGCCTTCTACTAGGCTGCCTGGCTTTAGCCTTTAGGCCTACTACTAGGGCCTAGGCCTACATTATTTCATGAAAATTACTGTTCTTTTGTACTGTATTAACATAATTATTGGTAGTCTCACCAAATATTTTTTGAACCGTCGATAACGGATTACTTTGCCAATCAGTAAGCCCAGGCATTTTACTAGTTAAATGTTGTTTATATGGACGTTTATATTTGGTTGTTGCTGCCAGCCAAAACTAAGATGATTCAAAACTACTATACTGTTCTGTTACGCTTTTTGTCGCACTGGCACTCAAATTTGTTTGGCGCGAAATTATTCACATGTCCCTTTAAATTACCCTTGAGTGATCACAACATACTTAATATTTGATAAAAAAAAAATGTACATAAAACACGCGTTTTTAAATGCCGAGAAAAAACCAAAAATACTATAACTTTTTTATATATTTAAAAAAAAATATTGGTGTCCATTGTAAATTATTTCTGTAAAAAACACAATATAATGTACGGCAATTCAGATTTTAAAAGGTTATCTTCTTGGACTCGTACATTTCTTTTGGAAGGTAAGTAACTTTGCATTATAAGATTTTATTCGTTAATTTGTTGCTGATAGAACGTGTTAAATACAAAACCTATGTTTTTAATTGTATAATATAATATAAAAATATTACTTTAAATAAATAGCTTCTTAAATTTGTATATTTTAATGTAAATAAATAACAAAATATTTACACGATTTCGACTATAGATAATATTAGGGTCTATTTTGACATGACGTGTCCCTGTGTTTTTGGAGTGAAAGATCTCGACAATAACATAGGGTAAATTTGCTTCCGAAAATTGATATTTAATGCAAGCCATCTTAAACAAACAAGACATAATTTAGATGTTAAGTTTTTAACCATGAATGAGCAAAAAGAAAACCCTCCACCGCTCCTTCTTTTCCCCCCGAGTAATACTACTACCCTAGGCCCAGATGCGCTGAGACCGGTACCAGCAGCCACCGCTTCTCTATTCCCTGCAGGTTAGTGAGTAATGATGCTTCCTTGTTTTGAATAGGCCTAGCCTTGGTCGTTGATTAAAAATGTCTTCACTGGGTTATGGAAGTTTTATTAATACCATTTTGTATTGTCTTTTGATATACAGTACCGTTAAATTTCCACAAGGAAATGTAAGATAAGGATTATTAATATTATATAAAATATCCTAGGGATCTTAGTAGGCCTATGCCTAGCTAATAAAACGGGTGCAGGTCAACTCGGCCACAGTCAACTCGGCCACAAGTCAACTTAGCCACAAATCAACTCGGCCACAGAAAGTTCGGCTGCAGTCAACTCGGCCACAAGTCAACTCGGCCACAAGTTAACTCGGCCACAAGTTATTTATAATTAAAATAAAAAGTAAATACGGTATTACAGTTTCTGCATCCCTTTTCGTCATGATTAAAATGAAGTACACAGTATATTTTAGTAAAATTCTGATCATCCTCACATCGTCGTGAGATCGTTGTATACATTTCTTCACATTGTACTCTTATTCAACAGAGAAAAAACGCCACTTACAGAATGGAATAAAATCTGACAATTGTAACATTAACAATTTAAGCAATCTTAATAATTAAGAAAAACACATATATTAATGTTTAATTTTGTTCACGTTAAAACACTGACATAAAACATGAGTACATACTGTAGACCTAATCATAAAAAATTAAAATAGAAAAACCACATTATGATTTTTTAAATGTTAAAAATTGATTTTGAATCCGACTAAAATCAAATGAATGCACGATGGCGTGCATTTCGATACTATTTTCTTCAGAACCACGCCCAAGAATTAGGCCTACGTTAAAATTAGGTGGGGTGCAGCATCTGATATCAATTATCCACAATAGGAACAATTGGTATTGTTGAGTGACAGACTTCAGTCCTTCATATTTGTTCGACCATTGGGGGATATGTTTGAAGCCCGTCAGTGACAAGGATGCATCCAATGACGTGATTCACCAGTGACATGTCCGTCCTTTTCAAATATTTACTTTAATAATACTAATTAGTCATAATAATGATAATAAAGGTGATAACAACAACAATATTAATAGTAATATTTATTTTAGCAATACTAATAGAAATAATATGGTAATAATAACGATATTTAAATATCTAT